CAAATTTTAATGCCTGGTGTAAACGCACGCTCTCAGACCTGTCCACATGTGATCAGATCACAAAAAACACATGTTAATACCAGGTGTGGATGGGGCCTTTGTTAAGGCTAATGATGTAGGAAAGAGGGGGCCAGTTTAAAAGAGGTTAGCCACATGCAAGACCTAGTACTAGATTTACCGTGGCACATAAAATAACCACTAAAAGAAATAGCAGTAACACTCAATATATTGAACTTGTCAATATGATACACTAATACAGTCTATTGCTTAGCCGTGTTGTGTTATGCTATGCTAGGCCCAGTTACATTACTGGAGAAAAAGTCAATTTTGGTGCTTTTTGCAAGCCCAGTGAACTTCTTCATGCTGGTTGGTTGAGTCCAGAAAGAATAAGCCACTCAATGCTAACTCTGGTTCCTTTTGTCGTTAATCTGCTGGTGAGACTTTGTGTTGTAGCAGTTCATGCTGAAGTTATTAGGGAGGCACTTGCGTCCCTCCCTTTGAAGAAGGTGGTAGCAGTCTGCTTTAAACAGGCCTGCATGAAAGTCTGGAGAGCTGGCTTGGAGTTGGAAGATGGAGCAGAGATCTTCTTCTCTTTTTGGATAATCTGAGAGAGAGAGTGATTAATTTATTCGGAAGAAGTGATAATAAAGAGAGTGAGCCTAGGGGAACTGGGGGTTTACTGGCCTGGTGACGTCATGTGTCCTGAGGCACCCAGTGACCAATAGTGACTGAAAGTTGGATCCAGGGGTAGGTGTGAAAGGGTGCAAAACCCTGGGAGACTGAGTTCTGGAAGCTCTTCTTTGTCTTTGGAAACAAAAGGCTAAGTGGTCAAGCTTGGGGTAAACATGTAGGCCCGTCTATTATTCACTAGCAGCAGTCAGCTTTCATACTAATGAAACTGCCTGTTAGCCTGTGGGTGGTATGCTGTAGTTTGGTGACTAACACTGTGTTCCAGAGCCTGGAAGAAAACTTCAGGCCGTGGTCAGAAGAGTGGAATGCCAAACCGAGCAACTTATCTTCTGATAAATGCCTCAGCCAAATTAGCGGCTGCCGTTACCAACAGGCGCTATGGCAAATGACTGGTCCTGTCCACCATAATGAGAAGGTGTGTGCTGCCTGTGCGCATGCGCGAAGTCGTGTGCTGCCTGTTACGAGCGCTCCCGATACCCAACCACTTTTTCTATACTTTTCTTAGACTTAACTTTCTCTTTAATTTCTTTTTTCGAGTTTGGGGATCACTTATACTTCACATCGAATCATCATTTGGTTTGCTAGAGTTTTGGTGTTTTTGTTAGCTGCTACACAACTCTACACCGGCACAGCGATGCAGCAACTCGATGCTGCCCGCATTGTTTACAACAGGGATCAGCTGATCGACCTGAAGCCGGCGCCTTTGGTGACCACGGACAACAATATTCCGGCTGAAATCTTGAGACGGACACACAGGGGATGCAGAGGAAGTAAAAAACTACGGAGGAAAAGGGAGGCTGTGAAACAACGAAGACTTATTGAGAAGAGCTATAAGCCGAGTCTTCCCTCCATTGTCATGGGAAACGTGAGATCGCGGGGGAATAAGATGGACGAGCTGACTGCACTGGCCCAAAGTCAGAAGGAGTATCGTGAGTMTAGTTTAATGTGCTTTACGGAGACATGGCTGCACCAGGATGTTCCCGACGACAACACCACCATCAAGGGCTTCCATACTGTGCGCGTGGACAGAGACAGCGTTCAGAGCAGTAAGCGCAAAGGAGGGGGGCTTGCCGTTCTGCATGTCAGACAGAGTGGTCAGCAACACTGGGACTCCTCAGGGGACTGTCCTCTCTCCCTTTCTATTCACTCTCTACACCACAGACTTCAGCTACTGCACAGAGACCTGACACCTTCAGAAGTTTTCTGATGACTCTGCAGTAGTAGTATGTATCACTGATGGGAATGAGAGTGAGTACCGGACTGTGGTGGACAACTTACATGGAGCGGTAAAAACCACCTACAGCCTCCCCATCCATGGGGCCAGTGTGGACATGGCGGAAAACTACAAGTACTTGGGGGTGTACTTAGATAATAAACTAGACTGGTCAGAAAATGTGGACACGATTTACAAAAGAGGCCAGAGCCATCTCTCTTTTCTGAGACGGCTCAGGTCCTTCAACATAGACAGGACGATGCTGCGGATGTTCTATGAGTCTGTTGTGTCCAGTGCCAAAATGTTTGCTGTTGTCTGCTGGGGCAGCAGCTTAAAGAAGAAGGACATTAATAGACTCAACAAGCTAATCAGAAAAGCCAGCCATGTTGTTGGGGGGGGCTGGACAATGTCACAGTGGTGATGGAGAGGAGAACTTTGTCCAAAGTAAGGACAATATTGGACTTTCCGTCACACCCTCTCCATAATGTCTTGATTAGCCTCTGCAGCTCATTCAGTGACAGACTCATCCACCCATGAAGGAGAGCTGGCTGCAGGAACGATGAATGATGCTAAGGCACTTCATGCTCTCAAACTTAGCTATGATGATAGCTAGCTTGGCTAGGTCTAAGCGCAGGCTCAGAGTGTGTACCAATGGGCCGGCAGTTGAGATATGATGTTCCATGTTTTGTGATGATCGATGACAAGGTTGGCTGTCATAGACTTGGAAACTTGGTCAGGAGGCAATGGAACTCATCCATAACCTGGAGAATGCTAGACAGCCTGGTCCACTGAGTGTACATGCATAGGAACAATAAGTCACCACTGTAGGAGTTGCTGGGATGAACTAGATAGGGACTTCCTTGTTTGCTTTACACCTATGTGAGCGTTTATCCAAATAACTCTTCAGCAGCAAAAGAACTCCCGATGTCAACAAACCGTTTTTTAACCCCTTCTGATGTTCCCATTGCCACAGTACTCCCATAGCTCCTTCAAGTAGTCGGCAACAGTGAAAACCACATAATTCCCCCAAATTTTTTTCAAAAGACTTTATTGTCATTGCACAGTCGTACTTCGTACATTAGCACAATGAAATTGTGGCATCAAGAGTCCAGTAACATAACCATTTACCAACACATCTGTTGTGGTTATCATGTTTATCTGTAATGTGGTCTGTTTAACACATTTAATTTTCTGAACAATTCAAACATTTTATTTTGGTGTGTCATATTGACATTTGGATTTTGAGGTTGCGATGGTTTATGATGATCAGCTGTCTACATGACCAATTCATGACTTCTTAGGGCTTAGTACACATTTCACCATAAAAGACGAGAATACTAGGAAAGGTCTCCCTGTCTCATTCCCAGTTAACCTTCCTTTTCTGCTTGCCCAAGAATGACTCGTTTGTTCAGTGGCAGTTCGGCATCATGTCAGCCTCTCTCTGTCTCTCTCCGTGCTGCTGTCGCTTCCTTTGAGCGGACAGGCTCGTGTTGTGTTTGTGGCACTCAGGACAGGCTGAGGCTGAGGCCGCCTGACTCACAAGCTCTCGGCTGTTGAGCGAGAGAATGTCACTGCACATTGGGTCGCCATCATGATACACACGCACATGCACAAACACACACACATTCACACACAGCAATTACATACAGCGGGCAAGTACACAAACACACATCCTTACTGCACGGATAGCACACGCACAGATCAAGCCGAGCAAAGCCCAAACTCACACACAGTCACACTGGGCTGAGGCTATTTTTAACCTGGCCACTCATGAGCCGACTCATATGCAACAGGAAACACACATGACAGCTATGAATGAATATGTGGCATATTTTGGCATGTTGTGATTGGTCACTGCTGTCAGACAATGATGGATTCACAGTGTCACCTCTGTTGGATCAAGGACGGAGTGGTGAAACTGTGGGCGTGACTCCTCTTTTGTTTCTTCAAAATAAATCTGTTTGCCTGTGTGTGCAGGTTTGGCTCACACTCCAAGAGAGCTGTATGTGATTCACTGAAAACATGATGTGTTGTAGTTCTGAACAGCCCCAACTGACGTTCTCATCATTTGACAGCTTGAAAGCTTGTTAATGCTGAGAATGACAAGCAAGGGCAAAGGCCAGGGTAAACTGCTGTCTTCAGTGATGCCCAGCTGTTTCCTACGGTGTAAAGAAGAGAATCTGTGGCTATATTTTGTAAGCAGCAACATCCCTCTTGCCTTACGTCATCTACATTTCCTCCACTTGCATCTTCCCTCGCACATCAGACATAAGTAGAGAGGAAACAAGGAAACACGTCCTTTCCTCTGAATGTCCACTTTAAATAAGGGACATTTCTTAAAACTAGTCAAGCTTTGGAGTAGACGTTCAAATATTTTCAAAATGTTTATTTACAAAACGTACAAAAATAACAGTGAAATTCTGCATCACTGACTTTAAACCATCTGATCAGACCTCATTTGAAGACCAACACACCCAAGGGTGCTCAGATGGTTTCCTCTATTGCTATTTAAACTCTGTGGGTGCTGACAGGGAAAATTCACCTTGCACAAACATTAGATCAGAATTAAGATCAGGCCTCAAAGTTTTTAACAACCGAAGAACGTTTTTGCTCGTGGCTTTGTTGCAAGTAAAGGCTGTAAGGGTGGGAGAAGCTAGTGACACAATAGGAAGACCAGACCACCTCATTTCCATTCGGCCAACGCGTCTAAGGATGCGGCCGCTGAATTAATGATTTGACTAACTACAAAACCAGGAAGTCTTTAATCCTCTTGCCTTTGACAAGTTTTCCCGGAACAATTGTCCCTTGCTCTGTTTTTTGTCCCGTGATTTGTTATTCATTGTGCCAGAAAACATATTTTATGGCACTCTGGGTGACTATATGGCTGTATCTTTAAATTCACTGCTACGTTGTTGAGTTTACTTTTCTTGTCTTGACTTGTATCTATGCTTGCCACCTTCATTGTATTTTTTAAGCTTCTCTGATCAATAACATGTTCCATCCTTAGGGTATCTTCCCTTAACTGGAGTCGATATTTAACATTTAATATTTTGTCTCCTTTCACTGCATCAGCATTTGTCTCTTTGTTTCTCTGTAGCGATCCACGAGTTCCCCAGGGATTACTTCACCAACCAGGAGCGAGCTGAAGGAGCAGTTGGCCTGCATGTCCTCTGTGTGAGTGTCACCTGGAGCAGTTTGTGTCCACACTTGTTTGATATAGTATCACTATTTCCTAAGTAGCCCCTGGTATCTTCATTTGTGAAGGTTTAGATCAGAGGTGGGGAACGTCTGGCCTCTGGGCCATACACAGTCCACAAGACTGTTTGATCCAGCCGTGAGGCAATTCAAAATACAAAAATCGAGAAAAGTGTGACTACAATGTTTCTTGCTCGCACACCAGTGTGCATCTGCACCTCTAACTTTTACTAGTCTTTCTCTCCTCACCTCTGCATAATATGTAGGACTGAATATACTTTAGAGTAAGACTTAGTTGCTCTATGAATAATAATAATAATGCATAATTATGCTATTGCATTATCAGTGGTATAAAATGGTTTAAAAATGATGACAATGATATTATTCATCACAATAATTCCTGGGACAATATAAAGTCCAACAAAATTTGTTATTATGAGAGGCCTACCCTAATATTTTTAATACACAACACTGATTTTGTTTATACAAGAACAGAGTCATGTCATACTCACCACTCTGCTGCTCTCATTTTCACTTTTAAAGAAACGTTTCATTTGAAAATAGCTTAAAAACATAAATTAAAAGCCAACCAGGACGGTGGTTTATTATGTCCTTTGAGATGCTTTAAGGCTAATAATGTGTAACATCTGTGCAGGAAGTTTCATGTTTCATTGACGGTAAATTCATAGAGATAGTGAAAGTTTTTAGCAGATGTTGAGCAGACATTTATGTGTGATATGAGAAGTAAGATACCCAAACTCCTCTAGAGTACAAGCAGAGGTTATACCTTCTCCTGTGGAAGCCTGATCTGTTCATCTGTAAATTTTACATACATGTGTATATGTCAACATATGCACAGTAAAGAAAAAACATTTCCAAAGTGACTGTGAAGCTGTTTTAGCTATCTTTCTCATTCTCAAACATGTTTACTGTAAATGTTCAAATATAGGCTGGGGCTTTTATTTTACCTGCTAATTCCACAAAGGTCTATCTGTCGTCGGCTCACATATCTTTTATTCATAATGGCCTGAGGAAGTGCAATGTCGAATTTTGCTGCAATTTGCACATTTAATGCAATAATACGTTCAACATTAATAAAGTGTGAATAAACAACAGCTCTCTGTAGCAGTCAGTTGGGGTGGGGCAGTGTACCTTCTACGTCCTCAGATTAACTTCAGCAGTGTTCGACAACTGGGTCACAATCTCCACCAGATTATATTTTATGTCACCATATTAGACTGACAGACATTCACAGGAGTGCAGGTGTTGACTTCAATCATGGCACCACCACAAACAGACTAACTGATCTCTGTGTGTGTGTGTGTGCGTGTGTGTGTGTACGTGTGCGTGTGCGTGTGTTTGGCCTCTGCAGGCAGTCTACATGTTCTATGCCCTTGCCCTGGTGTGTGACGACTACTTTGTACCCTCACTAGAGAAGATATGTGAGGTAAGATACCACTGTGATTCTGCTGAGCTTGCATTAACACACAATGATCCTAGTAGTGTTTATTATGGATTGTTATTATGAAGGGCTTCTTTCTTTCTTTCTTATCATCATTAGCGTCTTCATCTGAGTGAGGATGTTGCAGGAGCGACCTTCATGGCAGCAGGCAGTTCAGCTCCTGAACTGTTCACCTCTGTCATTGGTGAGAAAAACACACACAGAGACTAGCACATATATAGACAGAAAAAATCAGAAGCAGAAAGAATTTAAAGTGTGAACAGATTGTCTGTAATATGTGATCATCAGTCAGTGTGTCTCTGGTGTATAGGAGTGTTCATCACTAAAGGTGATGTTGGGGTTGGCACCATTGTGGGCTCAGCAGTCTTCAACATCCTTTGCATTATTGGAGTGTGTGGGATATTCACTGCACAGGTACGGTACACAAGACATACACTTTCAGTAACATTTGTTGAGTGATTTTTCCTTTGCAGTACATATATCCATGTTCACATTAAAAATCTTGGCTGGAAATAACACACACTGTCTCAGTCTGTGTGATAGCGATATCTGTCCCTCCACTACTATAATCCCACAAGGAAAAGAAAAAAGAGAAACATACTTGAATCCTATTTAGATTACAAGTTACGTAAGGCCCAAACACACACACACACAAAGTTACTCAGAGAGCTTGGTTTATCTTGTTAGTAGTGCACAGCAGTGAGTACCTTGTGGGACGTGTTACTCAACAGTATTTCAGTCAATGCAAGTTTTAAAGTCATAAAATGTCCCAATCTCTGATTGTTTATCTTCCGTCTGTCTGTCTGTCTGTTTCACAGACGATTCATCTGTCCCACTGGCCTCTGCTCAGAGATTCTGTCTACTACACCCTGTCTATCTCTGCTCTCATAGTGGTAAGGAACAGCTTGTAGCCATATTGACATTTCCAAAACTTTGTGTAAGATTGAGGCCGTTCTTCCTAAGGTGGAGAACAATTAAAAACCTTTACCATCTCACTGGTAAATCTAGTTATTTTGAGTTGGTCAAGAGAAAGTTACCTCACAGAAATACAATGCCTTTCAATAACTGCATAGATGTTCATGTTCAAGGTGATGATTTTCACTACTCCATCATTTTTCTATTCCACAGTTCATATATGATGAAAAAGTGGTTTGGTAAGTCAATCAACATAAGTACTTATTGCTTAAAACTTTTATGAAAAGACAAAAATCAGCACTTTCACACACACATACACATGATAGTTTACAAAATAATACACATGGTAAACAGATTCAAACTGTGTTTTCCAGGTGGGAAGCTCTGACGCTGATTCTGATGTATTTCGTCTACATTTTGATCATGAAGTGAGTGTGATTGAAATAACATAAAACACTGTGAAAGCAACTTATGAGTTATTGTAAAAGACTGATAGTTACTGTTAACAATGTTAACCCATTGCTTATGAGCAACCTGTCAAAGTATTTCAGTGTATTATTCTTCAGTGTGACCAACTTGAATGGTCTGCTAGAGTTAGGTCAGCTCTTAATCAAAACACATTTTATTATGAAGCATATATATCAATGAAATGCATTATTTTGTAGAGCTGTTAGTTGTTAACTATAACATACAATGTCTGTTCCAGGCTGAATTCCCACATTGTTCATTTTCTGGAGAGGAGGAAGAAGAACTCATCCAGTTTGAGGAATGGAGCTGCCAGTAATGCTGAACTAGATGATGGCTGTGATGCTACAGCAGTCCTGTTGAAAAAAGGTACAGTTACGTCTACTCTATGCTTCAGCAAGTACTGTAGTGCCTGTTGTTCTATATTTAAATCCATCATGTATATGGACTTATCTATTTGCACCTTTTAAAACATATTGATAGATAATACCATGAGATACATGACTATACAGATACAGACTGTGACCACCTAATTTTTTCATAGTTGCATGCTATTATCATATCATATCATATGTCTATAGTCTTGATGACCAATTCACACACATAAACACACAGTGCATTTATGTGCAGCACTCTCTCTATCATACATCACTCACACACTAAGGACACTTGGCTTGCAGAATGAGTAAGAGTAGGATCAAACCGTCAACCTTCTGGTCAGTGGATGACCCACTCTACCTCCTGAGCCACAGCCGCCCTGACTCTGCACTGCAATATAATTTTTGTCCCACTCCTGGGAATGTAATTTTTTTAGAAATGGGTGAACTGATTTTGTTTGTCACAGTTTAAGGTCACATTGATCTCACACAACACAGTTTTTGTCTCATGAATAGATATCTCGGGAACACCCTGAGGGAATCCCGTCCCAATAGTCAGACATTCTCAATTAAATAAATCTACTGTGGTGATTAAAATTGTCAAGGTCACTGTGACCTAACATTTTATGAACATTCACTCTGACTCAAGGCAAATCTGATCAGAATTTGGTTAGATGAGAATTCGTCAAAGGTCAGTGGGACCTCAACACATGGTTTTGGCCATAAGTCAAGAATTCATATGCTTATTATGAAAAAATTGAATAGATAGTGGTTGAATAGATTTGTCGTATTACCTCTGGAGGTATACAGGTATCTTTGCTTTGCCAAATGTCCGACTAAAGCCAAACCACCTTCACATTACTGATGTTTAGACCATTATTGGCACCAGGTCCTTATCCACCATGCTGCTGCATCACATTGCCTCAAACAGGTAACACTATATAGACCTGTGATACAGACATTGGGTGGATCTACTTTAAGATTAAGATTAAGATTCCTCTTTATGGTCCCACACACAGCATGCAACATCCAAACATGGGGAAATTTGACCTCTGTATTTAACCCATCCATGTGAACAGAGCACACATGGAACAGTGGGGGGAGCAATTGGGTGTTTGAGGTGTAGGCTACCACAGGTTCTCCTTCATGTTTTGAAGAGGTGAGGTGAGGGGTGTTCAGCTGCAACATGAAACTTCACCACTAGATATCATTCAATTCTACACACTGTACCTTTAATGTCATAAAATATCACAATCTCTATGACTCACTTGAAAAATAGCTGAGCAACAAAAGTGCTATTTAGTTTTGCTAATACAGATATTACATGTAGGGGAACATGTGAACATGTGGTGTAGTGGTCATGTATATGTGTCTTACAGCAAACCACCACAGGAAGCCATCAGTGCTTATGGTGGATGAGCTGCTGTCAGCTTACCCCCATCAGTTGTCCTTTTCTGAGGCCGGCATGAGGATCATGATCACCAGCCACTTCTCCCCCAGAACCCGCCTCACCATGGCCTCACGAATGCTCATCACCGAGGTAAGGACAGCTCTGCTTGTGATTCTAAAAAAAAGGTTTGCTGCCTTTTCCAATTTGACAGAGTGCAGCATGTTTTTCTCAGTGGGGAAAGTGTTTCACACAGCTTCATTAACAAGGTAATCTGGTGATGCATGGAGGTCACCGCCAACGAAGCAGCTTCATTCAGGGCATTACCCATGATTCTGCGAGTGTGTGTGTGCGTGTGTGTGTGCCACTGTAAAGATGTGTGAGACCTGATGGCAAATGGTGATAATGCACTCTTCTTAAAAGCATTCATGGTATAACAGTTATTTAAAAACATAAATAAGAATGAATAGGAGGGGATGTCAGAAGCCATTTGATGAATCATTTCCACATAAATACTATCTGTGGCATAAGCTACAGTTTTTGGTTGTCTCTGCGGAGTCTGATTGTGTGTATAAGCCTCCTATTGGCCACATGTCTCACGCAGCATTCTCCTCCCTTACTGCTTCCAGCTGGTTACCATTTCAAAAATCCCCTTTGAGAAAGATTTAGATTGTACAATCATGCTGTCAACAAACTTCATTTACTGTTTTCTGAGGCATTTTCTACGCAGGGATTAGAGCCACGATGACGATTGTCTCCCACCTCTAAATGTTTCACCAAACAATTTTCCTCCAGCACTATTTTGCAGCGGCACTTTAGCTGCATCCTGTGCTTAATACTGCCGAAGATAATTAACTTTGGTTCAAACTTAGAGGCCCAGAGGTTTAATGTTGTTATGTTTAAGAGTTTGCCAGTGACAGCTTTTTTACTTTCCAATCTATCAGAAACGTTGTGAGTTCTGCAACATACTTCATTCTTCAGTCACCAACAGCTGTCTCCAGTGATGGAAAGCAATATCAAATTATATCTATTTCATACACAGCTCTTAGTTAGTGACCATCACCACCACATGACATGTTTCCTTGGCAACAGGAAAACTTATGGGACATATAGGCTAATACCTGTAAGAACAATTTTAGATCTTCAAATACCCTTTTCTAGCTTTTAAGAATTAGAAACAAAAGTATCAAATATACCAAATTGTTAGAATAAAAGGATTACGAGCACCAGTGGTGTAATATGTGTTGAATCCCTCCTGCTTCTCTGTTGTTGTGCTTGCATATACATGGTTGAATTAATTCTACAGAGGCAGCGTCTAATCAACACACGGAATATGACCAATGGTGACTCCGACGTTCCAGTGAAAGGAGGAAGTAGGCGGGGCATAGAAAACGGGCTGTCCGAGGCAGATAAAGGTGTCAATGTTCACCATGATGACCGTGAAGCGGGCAATGAGACGGAGAATGAAGACAATGAAAACAATGAGAATGACGAAGAGGAAGAAGAGGAGGATGGGGAGGGACCCTTTGTTCCCTTCCAGTGCCCAGGTACCAGCTGGAGGAATTCCATGATCAATGTTTTTTATTTCATTATTCCTTTGTTAAAAGAAATACGTCAGCATTTTGAGAAATACATACACTTTGTTTCCCAAAGAAAAAACTGGAAAATCAGTAGTACTTACATGTTTGTTTGTTCGCTTCTGAAAAACTCTGTTTATCTTTCTGTGTTGTCCGTGGTTGTTTTTGTCAAAGAAAATGTGGCTATCAAATCAAGCTAAAGATCAAGATTTTTGATTTGTTCATTTTCATTAATTCCACCTGCACAAGATTCATCTCATTCCTGCAGGTTTATTTAAGTATAGTTTATTTGATTTGCTTAAATTAAGTGCATGATATTCATGAATACACTAAAATCACACAAAGAAGGTCTTGTACATTCCGTAATTTGAGAAATTATTTCATAGGCTGCAAATTATTCTATAGGAATGTCAAGTTATTTATAGTAAACTCACTATGTTAGTATTTACTCATTGTGAGACTTTTTGTGGCTGTGTGTATTTGCAGCGGGAGTGTGTAACAAGCTGAAATGGCTGCTGGCCTGGCCTCTGTGCCTGCTGCTCTACTTCACCGTCCCCAACTGCTCTTTGCCTCGCTGGGAGAACTGCTTCATGCTGTCTTTCGTCGCCTCCACCTTGTGGATTGCTGCCTTCTCCTACATCATGGTCTGGATGGTGAGGACAGACATGTAGATAAAAAAGACTCTATTGACATTGAGATGCTATTCTGCTGCTAATCAATTATCATGTGAAATTAAAAAAGTATAAACGAGGATAAAAGAGAGAATTGGCTGATATAGACAAAATTGCTTGAAAAATAAAGACCAAACTGGAGCAGGGAGGGAGTTCTGCTGCTGCTGATAGAGGAAGTACATGAGTGAAAAGGAGAAATAAGCATCATTTAAAATTACAAGTGCAGACAGACAGGAGGAAATTGAATACATTTTATTAATTAAAAAATACACATTACACCACCTAACCAGCAAAAGCAGGCAAGGTTATTGACCAGCTGGTAAAGTTTAGCAGCTGTAGACCCTGATATTGTCAGAGAGGTTAGGGTTAAGGTTCCTTTATTGTCTCCTGTGGGAGCAATTTGTTTTGGATTACAGGTGCTGCTGCATCAAACCAGACATTGAGTAAAAACATTAAATACAATAAATACATTAAACAAAGGTTTACAATTTGCTATTGAGTACAGTTATTAAATCCAAACCCATTTACAAATTGGGTTGCATCAAAAACAAGTACAAACTCCACAAATGGTTTCAATCATGCACACACAACAATATCTAAAAATCAAGATCCTGTGATAATCATCACGGAGGGAGAAAGGTACCACTTCACATGATCTCACATGGTAATGCATGCTAGTGTGCATATGTTAGATGTTAGATGTGGCAGGAGGGCAGCCAAACCAAACCTGAACCTAAACAAACTGAATGACTGAAAACTGAAAACAAAAATAAACAAACAAAACTGAAAGTAATAGGTTTACAAATTAAAAACGAGTTTGATGAAAGTGAGGGATTGTGAGCAGGTCAACTAAAACAAAGGAGCTAAGAGAGGCTAAGAGGCTGTGGAGCTGAAGGGAGGGGGAGGTTCAACTCCTTGACTGTCGTCTTTCTTGTGTCTGTCAGGTGACAGTTATTGGCTTCACCCTCGGGATCCCAGATGTCATCATGGGCATTACCTTCTTAGCAGCTGGCACCAGCGTACCTGACTGCATGGCCAGCCTTATAGTGGCAAGACAAGGTGACAGACACACACACACACACACACACACACACACACACACACACACACACACACAAAATGACAAGCTACCAATACTCTCAAATTTCTGTTTGTATTTTTCTCATCAAGTTTAAGCTCCTTCATTCGTGTTTTGGTAACAATGCGCTCCTTCATGCATTGACCTCTGTAAAGCTGTTGAAGTGGGGAATCTAGTAGAGGCAGGACTAACTGTGGAATTATACATTTTTTATATCATGCCCTGTAATATTTAGTTTTACATTCCCTTCCATAGCCCTTTACTTTACTTTGAAAGTCTGTTTGTTTATTGCATGTAGATTAATGAAGGGGAAACAATGACTTCAGTAAGGCTACAGGATAACTGTGAATTTACTCAATGTGATTGTGGAATAAGAGTTTGGGTTCGTCCAACGTTAAGAGGTCAAATAAATTATTGTAAAACTCCATCAGTCGGATATGTGTAGGCTGTTACAAGCTTGGTCACATTTATGCACAAACATGAATCGTGAGTGATGGAGGCCGACGAGAATCCGAGTAAAGCCACTATCAAAGAGCTGGAAGATGACAAAGATGGAAAAGGGTGGAGAGGATTGAGGTTGGGTGCGATTATTGGCCTGTCATCTTTTTCCACTGTCCCTCGTCTGTCCCTGTGGTGAGTCTATAAAAACAGAGGGAAGACAGCCCGACAGGGTCCCTTCCTCCATCCTTTTATCTGTGTTTATTCTTGCTCCTGCCATCAAATATTTAACAGGCCCTGTCTGTCTGCGTGTGGCCACTCACTGTGAGACGCTGTTGCAGTTCAGTTGTCCATCCTCTGCTTTGTGGCTGCAGTCTCTTCATTGTTTCCTTTGGGTTGTCAGTTGGACAGACAGTTCCAGCGACCTCACAGGGGTTGACCTCCTCCGAATCTGTCGCCTTCTCACCTCCGGTGTACCAATCTGTCTCTTGGTTCCCGCTCACTTCCCCTTTCATACTTTCTCTCTATGCATTTTTTTTCCTGTTCCTTTGTTCTGGTACATTTTGACTCCATGTCCATCTGTGTGTTCAGGAATGGGAGACATGGCAGTTTCCAACTCCATCGGCAGCAACGTATTTGACATCTTGGTGGGGCTTGGTCTCCCCTGGTCCCTAAAGACCCTGGCTATCAACTACGGCTCCGATGTAAGTTGGTCACTCCTCTGGTCCATAGTTACAACTTTAACAAAAGATATGGAGAGAAACATCTGTATGTACAAGAAGACTTGTTATTAATCAGCTTTTTAATCAATGTCGTAAATATTGTAATTTTGAGGGATCCCTCCTCACATGTGGCTCTCTCTTAGATTTCCAAGTTTTCCCTGTTGTAGTTTTTCCTTACTCTTGTTGATGGTTAAGGACAAAGGATGTCGCTCCTTGTTGAGCCATGGCTCCAAATCTCACCTATAATATATCCATCTGGTTGTGTGTGTACAGGATCAGTTACATTTAGAAACACATTCAAAATTACAACTATACTGCAGCCATCTGAAAGCTCTGTTAGCCTCAGTGTATAATTAATGACAAAAGCAGCAAACAAAAACACAAACATCTCAGGCAATTAGTGTAAGATATTATAATAAGTGAAAAAGATCCTGTAGTGCCCTAGTAGCAAGCATGGGGTAAAGTTTCCCAGCATGCACCAGGGCAATTCAAAGTTAGTCTCATTTTACACATGTTCCTGCATTTTTACTCACATCGTACAATGTTTCCACTACTTAATTAGCTGGTTTACAAGGGATGTGAAGTTGTCCGTATGAAGTCGTCTGTTATATTGTATTGAGAAGATGGACCCAAATACAGGAAACAAATTTAGGTGAAAAAACTAAAATGTCTTCAATTGAAGCAAATGCTCTTATTAAACAAGGGGAACGAACAAAGACAAAGGAAAGAATAGAGACTTAAAAAAGCGACCAACAGAACATGAGAAAAAGCTCAAGATTCACCAAGAACACGAGCAACCAAACTGACTGGAGACAGACACACAGGGGAGGCAGAGGTAACAGGTGAAATACATCAGGACAGGTACAGCCAGGTAAATAAGCCAGGAAATAACAGATAAAGCTCAAACACAAGTCCGAAGGAAGAGTTCCACAAATATCAAAAACATTATCATACCGAAAAATAAAGGAACATTTCAACATTTTTTGGTTATAGAGGTGTAGAAGTGTGAATAGTGACGGCTCACTCATTATCTTGTTGTAGATCAAACTGAACAGCAAAGGATTGATCTTCTCTGTTGGGCTCCTGTTGGGGTCTGTGTTTCTCACAGTGAGTATTCAACAACACATCTGGTCACAGCTTCTGGTAGCAGCACACAGTGCGCCTCTCATATTCTTTTTATCTGTCTGTCTCTCTGTCTGTCTGTCCAGGTCCTTGGAATTCACCTAAACAAGTGGACCTTGGACAAGCGTTTTGGTGTCATTTGTCTCCTCCTCTACTCCGTCTTCCTTTGTTTCTCTTGCCTCATCGAGTACAACATCTTCACCTTTGTCAACCTGCCAACTTGCCGGGATGACTGATAAGCGCGTGCGCACACACACACACACACACACACACACACACACACACACACACACACACACACACACAGACAGTATTATGTAGATAGTGGATGAATGGCAGATGAAGCCAGGTGTGGTTCACACACTGTCTCCTGTTAGAGGAGCTCCCACTTTCTTTGTTTTTGGATGCTCAGTGCAGCGTGGATCTGGTGTTTGCTCATCACCAGCGACTTGAGGAGCAGAGATGGACTCATCACAAGCCCTCACAGACAGGGCAGCACTGACGACAACGACACACAAAAAAGACTTTAGAACTCATTTTGAAACTTCCCATGTTTAGGTGTAAAAGTTGTGATGTTTACTAGCTGCTAACCTTTCCCAAGTGGAAAGTTGTGTCTTTTAGATCTACTAGTTGAGAGTAATAATGATAAAAGCAATGGCGTAGAGAGGTGGTGGTGGTGGGGGGGTATTGTTGTGGTGCAGGTAATGACGATCTGACAATTTGTCTTCTTCAGGCAGAGAACATTTCGTAGGACTATTTACATTGCCATTATGTTGATGTGTTCATGAATACAGTTGAGTTTGTTTACTAAAGTTTAGACTTAAGGCTACAAAACAAACCCCCCCCCCCTCGTACACAGAAGCAGGGCATTATCCCGTCAGCTTTTTATAATTTAACTTCAGTAATATCACATTTGTAGCCTATACGTTCTGCGTTGGAAGGGACCTAGCTTTAAGGAGTGATTTTTTTTTCCTTCTGTAAATAGTGCACTTTTGTAAATACTCCAGATGTTCTATTTATTATTTATTCATGTGATACGCACATTTCTCCGCCACAGGTTTTATTTATGGAACCAGGGTTGTTGAAATCCAAAACCTAGATCAGTTCAGATGACCACTCTTGTAGAAAAAAGCACAATTAGCCCTGAAGGTATTTGTCCTGTTGATTATTTCAGTACTAACTTGACTTCAATGCAGTTATGTTTTGTGTGTGTGTGTGTGTGTGTGTGTGTGTGTGTGTG